CTCTATGAAAAAAACGGTATTTTATAAAGAAATGTATCACAAAAAGGAAATTTTCTGTGAATCGAAGAAAATTAAAAAAAAATAGATAACGAATAATTTATTTTGAACAGCTTGAAGAGTACTGTTTTGTTTCTTTCTTTTTATACGTATTCCTTCGAAACTCTTGATGACAGACACTTTTTCGTTGTCCTATAATTGTAAGTATTTTTACCATATAGAGTTTGAGTGGCCTACTATGATCTGTAAAAAAATATTTTTAATGTGATTTTTCAAGGAATAGTGCTAAGTCAAGATGGACTGTATTTTATATCATTGAAGATTCGTTTAGTTTCAAAACATGACTCTACTTTCATGGCAAATGTTGCTGTCGAATTCATAACTAGTTTTATTACATGCAATTTCAGCGAGTTATAAACGACTTTCTTATTGTATAAGTTTTAATAAAAACTATAACATCACTAACTTTCATTTAACAAGTTTGAATTTTTTTTGTGGAAGTTAATGAAGTTATGAGTTTTTATTAGAACACTATATAGAATATATGAGTACAAAATATCATTGAAAGCAGAGGGGAGGTAGTTGAAGAGGTTTCTTCGTGAGAAATAGAAATTTCTGATTTATATAGGAACTCTCAACGAAGTTATTATAATTCCTCAGGAAAACAAGACTTGCCCATTAGTTTGCTCACAATTCCGTCGTTCATAAAAGTCAAAGTGATGCTTTTGTCTGCAATATTTTTCACACTTACACACTCATGTTCACAAACTCTTTAATGAATATCAATGTGAGAGGACAAAATATTGTGATTATTATATTTTTTTAATTTTAGTATTCATAGAACTATGGTAAAACGGTAAACATACTCTTCGATGATCTTGTTTTCGGTGAAGAGCATTACATTCATTTCCACAAAGAGTTATTTTCTGCTGAAAAATCATCATTTGTCTTGTGAATAGACTTTATATTATATTCGACAAAATTTTTAAAAGTGGACGAATATTTTTTTCTGGAAACTGTCAATCCAGCCGTTATTTTATGAATTTGTCGACAACAATAATCTCTAATAGAAAATTAATTGATGCATCTGTGATCTATCAATATTTATGAGCAATAAAATAAAAACCGAAAAGATAGGAGAGAAATGAATCGAGGATTGTATGCATACATTCTCTCAATCAAAAAGACACAGTATCACAAAAATAAGCAAGAGGGAAGAAAAAAGAAAAAGAACCAACGACCACGCGACAAATAATGATGATGATATGCTCAAAAAAAAAAAAAGAATACGAAAAATGAAAAAGCAAGAAAGAAAATGATGTTGATGACTATACATGCAAGTAATGAACTGCATCACTGATTCGCAAATAGTCCTTACTAGACGTATGTTTCTCTATATATATTCATTTTATATTATTTCAGATCTTCATGAATATTTGATGTAGAGTGATATGAGACAACAAATACCATTAAAACAAATATTCGATGCGGTCGTCACTCAAATGTTTATCATTCTATTTTATTATTAGTACTGCTCTACTTAATCTTTACTTTTTTTCACAACTCCATGTTGAACAGGCCATTCATAAACAAAAAAGTAATCATGAATTTCTGGTACTTGATTGGACTGCAAAGGCACATATATTTAAAGAACAAGACCCTATTCATTGTAAGTTTCGATTTATTTTTCTTTTACGACCAAATATTATCTAAATGTTACGATGAAGTAGTTGTTTGCGTCGAAAAAAAGTCAATTGAATTAATTTATCGAATAAATTGATTATGATCGGATAAAACTAATAGGAAATGATAAGTGATCCCTTTTTTATACAATTCAGTTTCATTTGCATAAAAAAAAAAACAATGTCTTATTTGCATGCAATTGACTTTTTTTTAATAATTTATATTATGTGAAACAAATCGAACCTCAACTTCATAAAAAAAAATCAATTTTTAATAGTAGTACAATATCTCGTGGTAAACATCCGATACAGTTGATGTCTTTAGTTGACCACAGGAATAGCTTCTGCAAGTGTTAATTTATGACACCAGTACAATTAAATTTGAGCGAAGTCATTTCACAGTGAAAATGTAGAATAAACCAAAGATTACAAAAAAAAAATTGAATTTGTTGTTAATTTGATTTTGTTCGTTGTTATCTTGTTATTTTATCTGCATAATACTGAAACCCTAATTACCACGAATTATTTTTTGACAAAATGATTCATTTCAAAGGATGATATATGGTGAGGCGATTGCAAAAGAAGATCTTTCGTTTACAAAACCATGTCACAAACATTAGTCTTGATTTCAATTGTTACAGTCTTTTTGAGAAGAATACCCATAAAATAAACTGCTTCTATCGCTAAAAAATTATTTAATGCTAGCCGTAGAATGGTTTTAGATTATACCGTAATAGTTTATATCAACCTCTTCAACATTAGAATAATCAATCCATATACAATAAAGCCTTCTATAGTGAAGGCTGCGTGTTCCTGATATATATATATATATAATTGCATTGAAACATTTGTATCATTTTGCTATCATTACTAAGCGAAATTGATGATCACGTATCATTGACAAGCGTTGACTCTGAAACAAAAGCTTGTATTAATTAAAAACAATCATAATGATTATGATTTAACGTTATTAATCAGTAGGAACATTGCGAAAAAATTTTTTCTTTCGTAACCTAAAGTCTTATTTTTCGTAGATTGTGTTCATTCATGAACATAAAAATTCAAATAAATTTCAAAATATTATGTTTTTCTCGAATGAATAATCTTTTCATGTTGAATTTAGATAAGATTCTTAAAATTTCAAATATATTTTTTTTTCTCAGGTGATTTTTCTCATATTAATCTCGATTATTGTCAATCAAAATTTCATTCAATTATAAATAATACTCTTCATTTACATCTAATTGAACGATGTACTCATCTATCACGACTTACTGTTCGTTGGACATATGATCAATCATATTTAAAACAAGCTGATCTTATTGCATATCATTCTATTCATATGCCAACAAATAGCTTACCAGTATTAGTACGTAATGATCAGCAACAACAATTTTCAATGGTCTATATACTTGAAAGTGAAGTTCATTCATCAAATGGTCAATATTGGCATAAAATTGATTTTCCAATGTGGTATAATCTTGAACGTTCATATCCTGCACCAGCCACTTATTTTGATCTTCAAACATATCTTGATCAATTATTTGCACCTGTAAACATACCATTTTCAAAAAAGACAACAACTGCTCCAATTGTTTGGATTATAACAAATTGGTAAGTTAAAAAATATATATTTTTATTATTATTATTAAGAAAATTATTGATTTAGTAATTCTTATAATGGTCGTCAAGTATTTATTCGAGAATTAATGAAGTATATTCGTATTGATTCATATGGTAAATGTCTTAATAATATCAAATCAAATAATATACAAGCACGTCGACAATCGAATTCTATTTTATATTCATCATATAAATTTATTATTGCTATAGAAAATTCAAATTGTGAAGATTATGTTACAGAAAAATTAATTGATGCATTATCATCAACATCAATACCAATTGTTGCTAGTCGTAATGGAAAACCAGATTATACACGTTTTGTACCGAAATATTCATATATTAATGTATATGATTATAAATCAATAAAAGATTTAGCTAATTATTTAAATTATTTATCAACAAATGAAACTGCTTATAATGAATATCTTTGGTTTAGAAAATTACCAGTTAATAAATATGCGGTAATCATAGAAGTAGATTAAAAATTAAAAAGATTAATGGAAATGAAATATTAGAAATGTCATAGATTTTATAACAATCAAGAGAAAAATATGACTGAACTTTGCATATCTGGAAAACGAGTTCGAGTTCTTAGCTTATCATTACGAAAATAGTGCATTTTTACGGTATTCATTGTAGTCAATTCTGCGGTACACCCTAAGAAAAACGAGTTTTTCTGATTTTCCTAAGGGGGAACTGTGAAATTCATTTAAATATGTGAAACATGATGTAGCTACTACTACTAATCATTTGAGGCCTTTCACTTTTTAAGTTATGTCTACGAAAATTTTGAACTTTTGCCAAACAACTTTTCTTAGTCATTTTCTGTCAGACGGACTATCTCTCATCTGTAATCATGAAAAAAAAAAACTTTCACATGTAAGAGTATTCTGTGAAATACAGATTTTAGACTACTTCGACATGTTGAGAATGTATCATTCCTTGAATTTAAGGTATTCCTTTTTTAATCTTCATTTTTTTTTGTTTAAATTTAATATCAGATTCATTAAATGTGAAAAGAATTCTTTGAAATTTATTTTAGTCATTAGGTACTATCAAACGAACATTAACTGAAAATCTTCATTTGGCAGATGAAATTTTAGGCGAACATGCTACAATGCGTAAATGGTTATTAAGTAAAGAAACTAGTGTTAATAAATATTGTAAATTAGCACAATTTATTTATACAAACTATTGGGAATCGATACATAAACGAAAGAAAATAAATCGTCCAACAGCTGATGAAGTTTGTTTACCTAAAAATGATCTAGCTACTTATTTTCAATAGCTCGTTCATAATATCTTTAAAAGATTGGTGATATTCTACTGATTTAAATTATTATTTTTTGTGTGCATGTTATTTCTTTTTATAATAAATCTCTATTTGCTGTTCATGCAACATAATATAACAAAGATCTAATTGTAAGACAAAGTTAAAGTATTTTACAATAGGTTATCTGTACGACAATACGGTATTCATAAAAGCTATTTGTTCGATTAACAGCGATCAGATTCTTTAGAAGACTGTGTAAGTCATAGATATTTATTCACATATGTTATTTGTAGAGAAGTAGAATAACATACTTGACCTTTCGATTACCAAAGTAATTCCGATAAGTCCGACAAAATGTATCATGAACAATTGCTGTTGTATCGAGGCCTATATGCGTTATGTAGATCGAAATGTGTCATGAGTATCTTAAAAAGAATTCGTATTCATAGTATATTGCTACGGAGATACTACACTGAAACGATATTTTTCAAAATAAATGTTGCGATTTCTCTCAGATAACATCAGAAAAAAATGATTTTCAAATTTAGAATTGAAACTTTATATAGAGACAGACCTAAACGAAAATTGTTTTCTTTTTCAAAGTTTCATATCTTATCGATGCCCATGTAAAAAAAAGTGAAAAAAAAAACTTTTAAGTAGTTTTAATATTAATAAATTAGAATAAATTAATTTTTCCTACTATTCTTCATTTTTTAAATTACTATTAAGTACTTTCTAAAGTGGAAAAAGTAAGAGAAAATACTTTAAAAAGTGAAAAATAATAGGAAAAGTTACTTTATCCTTCTTGATTAATATTAAGAGTAGCTAAACGTTTTTTTTGTCACTTTTTTTTACATGAGAAACATACTCACTGGTAAAAAGTACTTTTTACTTAGAATTATAGATATAGTTACTTAAAAAGTTTCACTTACAAATACTTTTCCACTTAGTGAAAAACTATTAATAGTACTTAATAGTAACTTTTTTGAATCAAAACTTTTACATGGATGTTTCTATTCCAAAATGTAACAGTGTGCCTTTTATCTCGCTCATATTAACAAGCAGATTTAATGTTCTGATTTCAAAATAGAAGTAGATCAAAAGATCCAAATCTTTCACGATAAACTACTCATGTTAAAGCCTATGTCTATGTAAAATTTCAAATCAAAACTTGCTGGCATTGATATGAACTGTGACACACAATGCGAAATTCTCTATAGAACATTTTCGATCAAAAAACGCATTTTTTTTTCACAGAAACATTACTTTCCAGTAGTCAGTTATGTCCCAATGAACTTGATCATTTCATGTAGATGTATTTTAGCAATGCCTAAGTGTTTTTGAATTCCAGTTAGTTATTTTTTGCTAGATTAGAATTTTCATCAATAGACGATGTACATGATGGAGTTGATGGTATCATATGAACATCTATAATATATTGAGTTAACGCAAAAGACAACGATTATAAGTTACTTTTATGAATACTTGGTTCAAGATCAATAATAATTTGTTTAATAGGTTTTAAATCGTTATTAGAAAGATGGTTTTTATTAAATACAATATTTTTATTTTTTATTAGGTTTATATCAGTAGAATTTTGAGATCGAATTGAATAATCTATTTGTTTTGATTTATCTGTAGTTATAAATGAAATATTAGGTAGTGTTTGAATCAACTATACAAATAAAATAGAAATTCTAATATATTTATTCTTCTTTTCATATGATATGTTTAACAATTATGAAGAATCGAGTAAATAATCGATTATATCTACCTTATTTGGATCATATTTATTTAATATTGATATTGTCCCATCTAAACGTGTATTAAACATCTGTTCAACAGACTTATTTATGGATAGTAAAAAATTGAATGAATAAAATTAGAAATTACTCTATTGTGTTGTGATGATGATTTACAAATATCCTTATTAGATAATATTAGTGGATTCTTTTTAAAACGTTCTTGTATTGTTATAAGTACTTGTCGAACATCATTGTCTTTTCTTTGTTGTAAAAGTTTAACATTTCGTTTATAATAACAATATAAAAATATGAATGAAACTAAAACTAGAAAAATAAGAATCAATTCAAATCGCCAATATTGATGGACATTATTATTTATCATGACATTCGATAAATAAAACAAAAGAAAAAAACAAATTAATAATTACCGCCAAATATAAACTAAACAATAATGACAGATAAATTAAGAAATTTTTCAAATCATGATTAACATGTGCATTAGTAGATCAAAGTGTCCACTCCAGCCCATCTCGATCATTATAGGTGCTGAAGATCTGAAAGTTTACATCCAAATACTTCACCAAGAATGTAGGTCATTAGAATTGCGGAATTGTTATTATTTGATTTTAAAAAAAGACTTAGAATGGATAGTATCTGTCATCTGCTCTGAGCATTATAATCTAAGAAAAAGACTACGAAATTTTGCGTTGTTTCTTACTAAAAAACAACCATGACTAATTCTTGGCGTTTTTCATGTAGCTCAAGTCTTGTCTACAGTCTTTTCTCACTCACAACTCTCTTTTATTGAACTATCTTTGAACTATTGACCTTCAAATGGCAGCAAATAAGTTCTTTCCACAACCGTGAGCATAACCTTTGAAAGAATTGATGTAGATAGCTAAGACGTAGCATTACATATTGAGGAGGATCTGTGTGTGGGATGTACGCACCAGGTTTGATTGTCGGTGTGTGTGAGTATAGGTACTCATTGCACTCATAAACAACAACAACACCTCCCACCCACACCCTCGATCACCTCATAAACACTGATATTGATTATTTTTCGAAGTTCTAACTTTGTCAATTCACACCTTTTCGAATGTACCAGTAAACAAAACATTGTGCGACGCTGAAGAATATATTCGAGATGAAAAATGGTGGTATCGTTTTTTCTAGGTAGCTGGTAAGCATTACGATAAAATTTTCAATGGCAAACCGCCAAGTATTGATAGTAAAAACAAAGCATCGTTTCTTTTCTTTTGTTTTTCATTACTTTGGATCTTTATCTTTTAATTAATAACTATGCTTTTATCATAGGAAATTATCTTGAGAATTTCTTTGAAACACTTCATCTAGTTTTATCAACTGCATTAAATCATTTGTTCGAAATAAGCTACAAGTAAATAATATTAACAGACGTTTTAACTGTATTCCAGATACTTTCTTTACATTTATTTGTCATTTTTTTCATGCAACTGTTTTAATTTTGTGTTAATTTACAATGAGCTAATACTTGAATATATAATTTATTAAAATAATCATCAGATAGAAATAAGCATCATTTATATGATCTTTCCATCATAGAAAATTTATGAAAACTCTACTTAGGTTTTTTTTCTTTAAAAAATCATGGCAGTTGTTGTTTAATTATTTGTATGATCTAAGAGTGATCCCTTAATATTACTTTAGAAAAAAAAGATAAATGATTTATTTTTGAAAAGTAAAGATAGAACAAAGGATTCTTTGATAAGACATAATATGGTTGGAACAATGTGTAATTTCTCAATTCAGATTTCCACACCTGAGGTTTCTTGCAAGTATCAAAAAAATTTTATCTCTGTCTTGTTTGAAGTCTGTATAGTTTGATAGACCTAAGGGTACTGAGTACGAATATCACATTTATTTTAAGTAAAACTGAAGTTACTCTCTTCGAAAACTATCGAACACCAGTCAATAAGAACACAAATCGGATTTGAAAAGTAATGCTTAGAATAAAGATGCTTTACTAAACATTTAATTACATGTTTGATAATGAAGTCTTGTTGGTGTACTCGTAGAGTCTATAACTTGATAAAGCTGTAAAAATCATCGTTTGTTATAAAATGACACACTTTGAATGATATTCAGGATTTATCGATGCAAAGACACTTGAATATCTAAAATTTTCTTATAGGTTCTGATAGAAAAAAGAATGTTGCTTCAAATGAACTTATTTTCAATGAATTTATATTGAAACCAGTTAACTTTCCGGTCAAACATTGTTTCTTAGGACTCTCGAAAAGTATTTCAAATCTGTCATGTTGTTTGACTGCTTTTGTAAAAAACGAGAGCAATATTTGTAATCAGCATCTTTAGGCCTATCGAACTGTACAGACTTCAGATGAAACAGAGATGAATTTTTTTTTGATACTTTAGAGGAACATCAGGTGTAGAAATTTGAGTCGAGAAAATACAAATTACCTCAACCATATTTTATTCTATCTTTACTTTTCAAATTTAAATGATTCATTTATCTTTATTTTTTAAAGATAAATGAATCATTTATCTCTATCCTTCATTATAAAGGAAACTAAAAATAAAGTATCACCTCTAATACGATAAGGTAGCGTCAATTGTACTTGCTTTTTTAATATAAATCTGTTTTGCATTTCATTTATTATCTCTGAATAAGAATATTTAAAAAAATTTTTTTTTAATACGTTTCAAATGAACAACATCAAAAAACATATATTTAGAATATTGCTAAAGCTAATATGTGTTTATGTAATTCAAGCATCGAAAACAAATCACAATATTTAATAACAAATTAAAGCAAAAGCTTTTCCATATTGTTTCTAATGAGTTTGAAATATTAACGTCGTGATATATTATCACGTCTCATTTTAGTAATAGTAGCCATTGAAAAATTTGTTTGCGACACTTGAATTCGTGAACGTAAATGTTTTACGAAATAAATGAGATGTTAATATTGAAAGATAAAATGATTTCACATTATTTAAATAATAACAATTGTTGATAAAAGAATAAACAAAGAAAATAATCGATGATTGTTCATAAGTTTTCATATCATTTGTAGTTATTGTAAAATACATATATATATATAATAATCCATTGTAATGAAAAGAAACCTGTTACTAAAACTTGAGTAAATATCGTAATAATAAATTGATTTCGTGAACGACGTTGTTTTAAAGTGGTCATTCTACCCCAAAATATATTATTAATCTCTGAGAAAAGAAATACTTAATACATTTACTACTCGTTGACAACTTTGACGAACATTTTGATATGTTAATAAGATAACTACAAACATCATTAACGATGGTATTAAACCATTAAACACAATGTATAGTATAGTATAGGTAGTAGGTTGGGTAGGTTCACACCAAACTCCAAACTTATAATCAAATAGAATCGGAGCTTAAATTGAAGTTAGACAACTGTAAATAACAGTAATACTAACATCCACACCCGCACCCTGAAAGATCGAATGTGGGTGCGGGTGTGGGGTGTGATGTGAAGATATGGAACAAAAAGATTAAAATCTACACCTACCCCCAAAACACAACAGGAAGAGACAACTTTGACAAACTGGATCATTTATCATCAAATTTCAATGGAATCATTGACCATCCTTTTCCATTTCACTATAGTCACTTAAACCCGTTTCTATGACTATATATGGTGGTACACCTGAAATGACGATAGCACCATTGGGTTCATTGTTGTCGTCAGATTGGTCTTGCAATATTTCACTCACAAGCTGTGCTTCCTTGTCGGCTTAATCTATTTTCTATTCCCCTTTTGATAAGATCCGATGAAGAAATTTGTTTTTTTGTTTTTCATTCGATTTATTTGTTAGTTTGAAACATTCATATGCTAATAGTATTTTCTTTTTTTCAGGCCTACTTCATCTACAGACTCAGAGTTCTGACAACTGGGACCAATGAAAAAGCATGCCAATGTGAGTCTGATTGCTGCCATCGTTCTTTTTTTCTCTAGTGCGAGCAGTTCTTAGAATGCTTAATCGAAGAAAAAAATTACAATATTTATATGGACTATGTCGTCAATTCCTAGTAACTAAACACTGATGAGTACATAAAGAAAATCAGGCGTCGGCTGGATTTTACGTACGTTACGTGCATGATTGTCGAAACAGAACTGAATATAATCAAGTTAAGCTATGGTTCTGCATTTTGTTCTTATTACAGAGAACAAAGAACACATATTTACTAAAAAAATTTTCGTTTCACATCACTCGAAAATCTTTCTCTCACAAACAGAATATAGAATATGTCTGAAGAAACGATACATTCACACGCATAGTCATACCTTGACTATTTTAACATAGTTGAACTGAATCAAAATTTAATATTTTTGTTGATGCCTTCGTGATCTGAAATATGTTCTTACAATACAACTACGCTTTTTTCAGAAGTCTTGTTGATGAAACTTGATGAATATTATCCCAAACTCTACTTATATTTGACTTTATTGTGTGGGATTACTTTAACAGAATCTTCTTCCTTAATGAAATTTCCAATTTTTTTTTCATGGCAAGAATTTAGAGCTAGTTTCAAGTATCGTTGATCCATAAAAATAGTTTGAAAGCGATAAACTTCTTTTTTCTCTCTCTAACAAGCAAAACATCTATTTATTGACGCTCCGTCATATAGCCATACACCTAAGCTATCACTAACTTACACGAAAAAATTGCAGAGTTTTTTGGAGTCAGAATCAAAGTTAAAAAATTGTAACTTTGCAGGTCTTTAGCCTGCACCCACACCTATAGAAACTGTTCAAATGGTAACATATTAAAAAACATAAATATTTAAAAAACTGTTTGTATAGTTTCAGTGAAAAGAAAAAGGAGACTTGATATATTCATTGAAAAAATTAAGTTAAAACCTTATTAAGATTCATATTCTGTCTAGCTCAATGTACTTGAAATTTCTGAATATGATTATTATGTGTGGGTTAATTGTCATCGAACCATTCCTTCTACTTCCTATCTTTTGCATGATTTGAATAATGCATATGACTATGGTAATCCGATCCGCTGTGTTCGAACCAGTCATTATAGGGTCCTTCTCACTGCAGCATGAAAATTGGAGAGAAGAGAAAAAAATAGTTTCGCATACCATCACCTCTAATTTACCGTAGTATTTGATTTCGTATATAAATGCATTTTTTCAATAATCGTATTTCATTTATTTTTTTTATTGATATCGTAGCATATTCACGTCGATCGTTGTTTCACTAGTTCTTATTCATAATTGAAAATTCATTCGATACAGTTAATTATGATGGATACAATACATTATGTCTTGTATTTTGTTATGTTCTTGCACATATTTCACGTTGCATCCTACGAATACGATAAGGGAAGCAACGCTCCTTTGTTTGAGAAACAAATGATCGAGGAACACCGTAATGATGCATACTGGATTGAAGCCTTTCAACCCGACGATCAAACTCCTGTTGGGTTCATAGCTTATGGACTTGCTCGTGGAGAAGTCAATCTTTATCCAAACCCGTACATAAATACAGGAAACACTAAACCGATTCTTATCCAAAAACTTCTTACTCCTGTTGCTATGGATCAGGCTGATATTTCAGGTGATGGATTTAAAGACATTATTATCTGTTTTGACTATGGAAATTCAATAATCGATTTCAATCCCGATGGAGGACACATTGTATGGTTAGAAAATCCAGGAAAGAAAAATGAAACAGAACCGTGGAAACGGCATTATGTTGGAAAATCAGCGACAATGCACAGACTTAGAGTTGGTCATTTCACGCAGACTAAACGCTGGGAGATTATAGGTTTGCCTGTCGTAAATGGACCATTTGATGTACCAGTACCTATGTTGTTATGTAGACAGCCTGATAATGTGCTAACTGCTAAAGCATGGGATTGTGAAACTATTGATAAAGAATTTTCTCATTTAATTCACGAAGCTAAAATGTTTAAAATTGATTCATTGGATCAACTTCTTGTTGCATCACGGGAAGGTCTTATTTGGCTTTACTATGATAAAAACTCAGGGGAGTGGATACTTGAGAAAATTGCCGATGGTGAACAGGGAGAAAAACAGCAGACAAACTATTATGGTAGTGGTGGTGCCGATATTGGAAAAGTTGGAAGTGACACCTTTGCTTATATTGCTGCAACTGAACCCTTTCATGGAAATGTGGTTTCGGTCTACACTAAAGTTACAAACAATTCACTGTCACAAATACAATGGCAAAGACACATTCTCGATATATATGGACATCCTAATCAAAATGGCGAGGGTCCAACTCATCATGTCATTTGTGCTGACTTTGACAAAGATGGAGATGATGAATTTTTAGTTGCACTTCGTGGACCACCTCCAAATGAGGGTGTCTTTTATTATAAGCCTATTGATCTCTCTCGTGGTTTATTTGCCAAATGGAAAGTTAGTGATGAATCTACTGCTAGAATCACCATTGCAGATTTTGATAACGATAGCTATATTGACTTTGCAACAATAGGCTATTATGTTCCCGGTTATTTCTTGGCAGAAAATCCTTCAATTAATATCTTTTACAATCGATTAATCAGCAGAACACTACAAGTAAAAAATGACTTACAAGTAACAAAACAAAATGATGAACTTTTTTTCACAGTTCCAAGACCAAACAAAGTATTACAATACCATGCATTGCCGTTTCTAACAATAGGAGGTATAACTTTATCATTAGAAGTTTTACCACCTTATAGTTCGCGTCAAGTTGAAAAAAATACCTATATCAAGGTTCTTTCGGGAATCATAACTTGGAAAGATTCCTCCAATAAATCACAGCAACCTATCAATCATTCACGTACATTTTTCTGTGAACCAAAAAGTGTTTGTTCTCTTGAAATACACAGTGATGACAAGAGAATCAAAACTGGAAATGAAGGTGCACTTTTTATTGTATTACAAATGGATACAAACATGCATGATATTCCTCGATTCAAAAATATTCGAAATGTTATTGTTGAGAATTCATTACCTGAAAGTTCTCCAGACGAAGCACGTAAACTTGATTTCAAATTTGTCAAAGTTGATGAACTTGAATGGGGAAAAGAGAAATTCAAAGGTCTTGAATTTTATAATATGAGAGGCTTTGACATTAAGTTCGCTGATAATAATGAACATCTTTGTCACTTCCAGTTTTGGGCTGCGGGAAAAGGTACTAATGCTGGAGTGCACAATCATAATACAGATCGCTTTTGCGAAGTTCATACTTGTATTGTGAATGGAAATGGAAATAGTGGTATGCATTATCTGAAAAGCTCCGAAGAACCTTACGACCCGTTAACTACACCTGACACTGAATTCATCAAACAAGTCATACCATCGTTTCATGAGCAAGGTCCTATCTGGGATATCAATGCAAGCAGAGAACCAGTTTTACGCAACGATGGTACTGTTGTATATCCTTGGCACAAGTGGCAGTCTGGTGGCAAGGTATCATCAGGATCCCTATGCAGTGAAGTGCCACCTACTAGAAACCTAACTATGGGTGATTCCAGAGCTCAAGCAACAAACACATCACAACAAAAGGCAATACCAAAACGGCGCCATTGTGCTTCTGCGTCACAGCAGTCATTTGACGTTTGGATAGTCTTTGAATTCGCTATTGGAATGTCAAAGCTTCCTCAATAAACGAAATCAAAGTTTAAGCTACACACAATGATCAAATATACTAAGTTTGGAAAAACTTGAATGTGAAGAGTGACAGATGGATTTGCTTGTAAAAGTAGCCCTATTTGAAAACTATGAGACCACTTCAACTAATCATATATAGTCAGACAGATAATTAGTTCCACATTGTAGATGTATGATAGTTATGACTAGAATATTACTTTTCTTATTGCTTTGAACATATATATTGTAAGGGAATGTAGGGAACATGTTAGGCATGATATATAGAGTAATTTGAAGACGACATCTTACACTGTAAAATCAAACCAAGAAACTGCTATTCTATATCTGTTGGTGCAGCAAAGAATGCATAACAAAACTGTATGAAAACAGATATCATAAAGCTATAGTTTACAATACTTTTGACATAGGTATTTATCAAACCTATGCATATATGACATCGGATGGCTAACTTGTGCAATTTTTCTTCGACTATTGAAACAGTTCTCGTCTACAAAGATGGAACCGATCCGATCTGTCTACCGGTTAGAGACCAATCTACTAGTAACCGATCGACAGGTAACCACCACCCTTGCACTAAAAATTTAAAGAAGAGCTGGTTTTCAACCACTACCAAATAGTTTTTTGGCAAGAATAAACTAGTATTGATGTGCGTAATGTATAAAATTCAAGAAGATGTTTCATTTCGGCTGCTGCAGTTCAAATAGATACCGATGCGACTTTTATCAAATAGATATAGCTTACACGGTATCCTAGAATGCTATGCTGGTGTTCGACTTTTGAAATGCTGGACAAGTGTTTTGTATGACTGCTGTATAAGCAAATTTTTAATAAAAACTATGCACTATTCGCATCGGAAATCATAGATTTAAAGCAACACTGTCTTTCTCTTTTTTTCAGAAAATCCGCACCACATAGTTTAGGTTCTAACGCTTTTCATTATTAGTCCTACAATAGGAAACATAATTATCATCTCGTAGAGTAATAGTTTTCTTTTATTTAAGTACTATTAATGATCGAGTATATTATTAATTATTAAAATATGCTGGACTGGAAAATAACTTGACCATTATCGAATGAAAATCTAGTAAAGCTTGCATATATGTGTATGTATTGCGATAAGCTTCGTCCTGATTATATTCTAGACAAAGCCTTCCCAACCAACAACACGTTGAAATTGTAACAGCAATAGAATTATAATTCAAGACATTTTTCAGTGTGATTGATTCCGAACACTAGCATGTGGAATATTTGATGGAATTAGGAAACCAACGCTTAGAACCCGAATTGAGCAGCTCCATGTAGTGAACTACACTTGGTTTTCTCGAATCCTTTCAATATTAAAGCATTCAAGGAATTGAAGAGCACTCTACAATAATTAATTAGCTAGGAACACTGCCACACATCACCTCACTAACAAGATCAATAAGATTGGCATAGACAAGTCTAAAGTGATTACTTCAAAAATTAAATCTCACTTGATTATTTTAAATTTTGAAATATTGCATCCTCTGTGTATCTCAGCGTCCTCTAAATAAAAGAATTTTTTCACTCTATAAGAAACATAACCATTCAATTCGCTTTTTGAAAGCAAATAATTAGAACCTCCATAACGTCAAATATCAAGGATCCTCATGGATCAATGTAATACTTGCCAGTATACAAAAGTTAGCACTGTTTTTTTTCTGAAATAAAAGAGAGAATTATTTAAATATCGAATTCATAGTTTATTATTTCATAATAAATTTTAATTATTTTCATCATCATGTAAAATTTTGTCTTTATATTCTTTTCCAAGTATCAGATATCATTAAAGTGTCGAATAGGGAGAGTTTTCTACAATGGCAAGATGAATACTTGGAAATATAACCTTGCATTCAGTAATGAATCTTCCGAAGATAATTGATACTTAAAGAAAAATAGTCAAAGTTTATAAGTAAATTGAGATGCTTGATCTATTGATAATTAGCTAGTTACAATGTTCTATAATACAATGATGCTATTGATTATTGAAGTTAAAGGAAATGAAGAATTTTGTATTTTATTAGTGAATGTGTGACAAAAAGTATAGCATTTTATATGATAAAAAAAATTGAAACACGTTCACTTCTTAATTTCACTAAATTTTATAATGTAACAAATTTCTAAAATATTTTTAATTATTGAGTAGTAGTATATCCAATAAGTTTTTCATTAAATATCGTCATACTAGTGAATTATCTTTTAATCTCTGTTTGATTAGATTTATTCATTGATTTACTTACTCATAATCAATAGGTAATTTTTAACAGTTAAATAATTGTTTATTTATATAACTGATTGGTGTGAAAACATTCTGAAATGTATATACTTATTAAAAATTAAATGTCAGACTAGATTATGTTTTAATTTTAAAACCTAATTTCATAGTACTTTATGGAAATCTGAAATTTATCATAAAACTTTTTTTTCTTTTATCAATCTTACATTTTTTGTTATGTGAACACTTGGTTTTTTTTTTTATTGAAACAATGATTTCTAGGTTGACATTATTCTTTATTTGTTACGTATATCGGTTTCAACGAGAAGTGTTCAATGGTAACTGAATCAACGAATCACATCGACTGTTATATAACTTTTTCTGGATTATAAAACTTTAAACTATCAAAATGAATGCAATTCTCGAATTACTTATGAAATGATGAAATAATAGTATATTGAAAACGATATCATTTTTTTATGAACGGCAAAAGTTTTTTTGATAACTTCTATAATACATCTAAAACTCAGGTTGATAACAACTAATTTGCCAATATTTTCTTTCATGATACCATAGTTCTTATTTTTTTTTTCTAATTGAATATTTTTCTTATAAAAATGTAGTTCAAAAATTAATAGAAATAATCTTTTTTCATAAAGAAAAAAAAAAAAGTTTTGAAGAATATGAAAGATAATCTATAGATATAAATCTACTTTTAAATCTTTACATAGTTATTTGATATTATCTAATATAATATATATCAATATTTCTTTGTTTGTATATGTCTTTGCATTGATTGACACAATTCATAACCAAAACAGATTACCATTTCGTTAACATCGATACTGTATATCTACGACATCGTCTGTTTACTTGTGTATTATAATAAAATCTTCTTCTAAATAAAACTCTTACTATTCTCAGAAGAATAAACTAAGATATTAATGATCATTGGTTACATTTTCATAGATCATCCATTAGTTGATGAAATAAAAACTTGAAATAGAATCCGCAAATCTACGTCATCAACATATTAATAAAAATACACATTCAGCCTATATACTATGTGAACTGAAGATCAATAATTTTTCTTCTCGTATTATATGAAAAGAAGAATTTATTTTCAAATTCTCGTTATAATATCTTTCAATATTTATAAATCAATCGGAGTCTCTCTAATCACTTGAGAATAAGATGAAATAAATTTTTTTTTTCTTTATGTGTATCTAAATTTTACTCATAATATAATCTCTAATTTAAATATAAACATACAAAAAAATTTCAATATTTGAAATTTATTTTTCTAAATTTATTATTATCACTATGTCTTGATATATATATATATATAATCACATCATTTCTAATTTTAGAAATCACTTCTTATTTCCGATTTTATTCTTAACTTTTCGGAACTAACATCTATCTAATCAAGTGGAAAAAAAATAAATATATCAATTATCTATATTATAATTCTTGTGTATATATATTTTTTTTTTTTATTTATTTATTTGACAATACAAGCTTGATTAAACAGAGAAAAAAAAATGTAACAAATGTGTATATATATAGACATGCTATAGTACATCTATTGTAGATTATTTTAATATTTTAAATGCCAACAGCTCGAGCACGACCACAAAGTAAATAAACAATTAAACCTAGGATAAAATAAAGAATAGGTTTTTATACAAAAGAAATAAATATTTTTTACCAATAATAGGACAAAAGACAATAAATAAAATCCAAAGAAGTTTTTCTACCATTGGTTTGCCTGAACGAAGAATTTCAATTGCAGCAATAATATCCAAAATAAGAACAATCTTTAAAATGATAAAAAAAAACAAAAATAAATATTTTGTTTTAATCAAAATTTATTTTAACTAACCAAACCAATAATTCCACCAACGGTTGGTCCAATATAATAAACATCAGCTGCTACAAATTTTATAGAAGTTAAAAAAATTACCAAAACACTTGTAAAATAGATTAATAAACCCATATTAGAAATAATAAGTAGCGAAAAAAAATCGTCACTTTATATATCTAAAAGTAATATTAGACTTATTGAAAAAAGCACGGAATAAACTTATCGTATTCGTCGTAGTGTCTACCACACTATGCAACGTGCCTTTATTCTTTTCTTCTATCGAGTAATTGAGTAAAGCGTGTAGATACGAAGTTGGGTTACATCTCCTTTTTCTCTTTTTTCTTCTTCCGTCGTATTCCTATGCTCGAGAAAAATGAACGGACGTTTCGTACATTTTTTTTTTCTCTCTCCCTTTCTCTCGCTTTTCTCGTCTAAGAATAAATAACTATGATTCATCCGTAAGCCCATCATTCATTCATTCATTGTAACGACATAAAAAACATAGTATGCATACGTAGTAATAAATGTACAAGAATGCTATGTTAATCTATTTTGGTATACTAGTAGATAATGAATATGATGTAACTGAAGGACGTGTGTGTATATATAGATATATACTTTGATTCTAACTTTAGAAAATAAAAATCTATTGCTTAAAAGAAATTTCGTATATATATATATATATTTTTTTTTTTTCGATTAACAATGAATACAAGAAGAAATAATCGATAGAAAATGATTACATGAATGTAATCGTTCTTTGTGTTTTGTCAAAGCATTGATAAAAGAATAACCATTAAAAAGATCAATTTCTTTAACATGAAACAAAAAGATCGTCATTTATTTTACTTATGATATGATTCAGTTTAATATATCATTTTATGACATAAGCTT